ATATTTTTGCGTCTGATTTCGTAACTTAAAATATCGTTTGCACTTATTAATTAGAATATTTGAGGTCACCCTCTCAAACCATTAAGGTTGAGTCCTAGAACGTAAAGATCCGATCAGTAGATCAAAAATTATTCGGGGTGGTCCATTTTTTTTGCACACTGTACAGTATGAAACCAATTACTTTTAATGCCTCGTATTAGTCAAAATTATTTCCAAGACTTATGCAAACACGTTTATATTTTTTTCATTTCGTTGGACATTTCAAGAATAAATATGAATAATGTATCCATTTGCTTCTAAGCATGTTTGAGGGACTTTATTTTGCTACCTACACATTTTATCTACTGAATCTGAATACCACCCTACCGCCGCAAATGCTAACTCTAAGCATGCTAACTAATTAGCAAATATTTGGCCCATTTCAAAAGAAAAAAAATTAAGCCACTTTTCTTATTTAGTATTGCGGACAAAATTTTGCACTGCGTCATTTTGTTTTTATTATTTACAAAAAATATAATTTTTTTAATAATGCTAAAAGGAAATTTTTAGCTGTAATCAAAATTAAAATTAAGCTATCGAAATAATTTAATTGGTAACTAACTATGTAATAGTGATTATATATTGCATTTAGCGATTGACTAAAATAATAGAATGATTGCATCGACTTAATTTAGATATTTCTTTATCTAACACGAACTCACGAGATTACTGATTATTATTAATTATAACCAGTTATAATGAATGTAACCATTCTGGCATGCATAACGACTAGTCATTACGCAGATTAAATTTTTAATTCATTAACCCCTTGGGGACGGGTGATTCAGAAAAGCATTCGTACAAAATCAGAATCAAGTTGTAATTAAGTAAAAAACGGTGACTTAAATGTAGTCGTTGCTAATTTTACAGCCTTACTTTGCTTTTACTTTAATTATTGTTAGTTTAATCATATATATAATCAATGCTAATTTAAATTATAACTAAATAGTTTTATTTAGAACAAAGTAGTGGCAAATTAAATAAATCGAACAATTATAACTCCGCCCACAAATAAACTGCTAAAGAAATACTTTGATTACAAATTTTATCTTTTTACCCTGATTGATACGATTTTATGCTGGCACGTATTTGTGACAGTCGGCGCGAAAGGGTTAATATTTATGTATTTAGTATTACATTTAAGCCCTAATATTACTGAAAGTTCATTATTTTTTTTACAGTTCATGGTATACGTCTGGAAAACTTCAGAAGTGTTTTTCTTGGAGCTACAGATCTCAAGCAGTCAAAATTATATAGATTGATTTCAAACTTGAATTTCATATTTAAAAGTATATCTATTATAAAAATACGAAGTATTATTTCAATTTATTGCGCAGTTGTGAAAAATATTTTGGGGATATATTTTAATTTTTTTTTATCGCATCACTATGTGCATTTTTTTTAATTAATTTTTTAATAATCCTACGTATTTCTGCAGCTATACTCATCGTTAAGTCGGATGAAATAGTTTAATCTTGAGCATCACTTTTGTATTTAATTTTGGGAAGTAGAATGATCAGAAAATAAAGAAAATATTTTTCATTATAAACAAAGAAACTACATGGCTGATAAAACAACCCTTCTATACTAATACATATTTTTATATTTCTCACGAAGTGCTTGAAGAATCATTTTATAAATTCAGAAAAATCGATTTCTCATACTCATCAATGAAGTTGAAAGCTTTTAGGTTTAAGGGACCGACAATAAATTACGAACGGAAAATAGTGTTTTTGAAACAACCCTATGCTAAAAAATATAGCAATAAATTTGTAACTTGTAACAATTTGTCTGGTTATTATATACAATAATTGCGCAAAATTTCGTAACTCTAGCTTAAATATTTGCGAACATATAGACATTTTTATAAAAAAAACTTTTTTTTTCTTGCGTATTATTGATATAACTTTAAAAAATATTCAATAAAATTAAACAAAATTAATGAACAAATTTAAAATTTATTAAAAAAATTTTTTCAAAATTTGAAAAAACTTTGTTTAAAACTGCGTAAGATATGTTCTTTTATTCTGCATATGCGCGGAAACAATTTTCATAATTTCATAGCATATAATAAATAATTTCCGAGCAATTTTCTAAGTAGTTTTTGTAATTTTTAAAAGAAACTCAAATAGATAAGGGGTTTTCTACAAATATTATTTTGTATCATAAGAATAAGTTAAACGACAAGTAATATTTTACAATAAACGTTCTTACCCCGAAACATGATTGTATGTGGAAAGAAAGAATGCGAAAGAGAATATACTTTTATGGGGCATGATCCTCAATATTGCCCGTGTCTTTTGAATAATCTTGTTTAATACAAAATAGAATTTGTGGAAAACCCCTTATCATTTTGATCTTTCAATTAAAGATTACGAAAACTGCTTAGAAAATCGCTTGAAACATTTTAAATTCTTAAGATATTCAAATCGGACTTTATTTGTTGCTAAATACACAATACAATTGAATAAAAAAAAATTTTACTTTTTTTAGGCGTACGTGCAGCATAAAAGTATTACTTTAATTACTCTTATCTTTCACAGTTTTAAACACATTTTTCTCAAATTTTGAAACAATTTCGTTATGAATTTCAAATTGCTCCAAAAACTTTGTTTAATTTTATTGCATATTTTTTAAATTATAGCAAACACAGTAAGATTAAAAAAATGTCCTTATCTCCAGAAATACTGAAGCTAGATTTATGAAATTTCGTGCAATTATTTCATGCAATAATCAAAATAACTGTAACAAGTTGAAAATTTATGACTACATAAAAATGTTTTTGAATTTTTAAAGCTTTTTAGAAGGCTTATTTCTTCATTTTAAGCTTCTCAGAACACTTTATTTGACATAGGCATACATAGTAAACTTTAGGGTCACGCTGTGTACCCCCTAATTGACCTATAATTATTTCCTGTGGTAGGGTACACTATTACCCTGTAATATAATACCTGGTCCAATTTAAATATTATGGGTCAATATTAAGGTCTGATATCGCGCCTTGCGTTCGTTAACCATTGAAAGATGTCTTTGAATCCAATTTAAAAATTAGAGGGCTTATTTCTTCATTTTAAGCTTCTCAAAACACTTTATTTCGCATAGGCATACATAGTAAACTTTAGNACACTTTATTTTGCATAGGAATACATAGTAAACTTTAGGGTCACGCTGTGTACCTCTAATTGTTACAAATACAGTTTTTGGGGTAGGGCGTTCAAAAGACACTATTTTCCGTTTGTAATTTATTGTCGATCCCTCAAACCTCGAGAAGCTTTAAACTTCATTAATAACTATGAGAAATCGCACTACCTAAACACATCCAAATTTATGAAATGACCCTAAGTATTTTTTGAGATATATCAAAAAATGTGTCAGTATAGTAATGTTTCCATTATTTTGTCCAACATTTGTCTTTTGAGTGATCTTAAATATGGCCACAGTCACAAAATATTATATTCTTTATTTCATCGGGCAATCCTTTTCGTAAAGATAAAAATACTGTTCCAATCAATCATTTTTTATTTAAAATTTGTAATATTTTCAGCAGATGGACAGAGGGGCGATGGGACATCCAAAACACATAGTTCAAACGCAAACATTTTAAAAATCCAAGTGTATGTGTAGTTTTAGCCGAAACTTAGGAGCATGGAAACAGATTCTTTATTAGTGAGTTACAGAGGAATAATTTTGTCAAAAAAAATGCAAATCCCTCGTTCCTAACATTAAAATTTTAATTAAATCTTGTTTACAAATTAATCCCTAAGAAACAGTTAGAATTTAATAAAACCCTGCAACCTAAACATTTTTTTAGTTAAAATTAAGCAGCTTAAAGTAAAATGTAGATTTTGATATTTGCTTCGTCGGATCATTCAGTTATATTTAAACACTTGTATTGCATAAAAAAAGCTAGACGTTGCGATGTTAAAAGAAAAAAGCTTATTATACTCGCTTATTATGAAATATTTAAAAAATTAAACTGATTTTATTAGAACAAGGAGAAAGATTAAAAATTTAATTATAAACTTATGAAATAAAATGAAAGTTAATAGCTAGTGAATATGTAATACCTATTATGAAATCATAATCATACGTTCAAAAAAAATTACATCAAAAAAAATTTTTCACCCTTACGCAAAAAGCAGAATAACAGTTCCTTTTTATAAAAATATTTTCACGGTTTACTAGTCTTAAAATAAAAGACTTATTGAATTTTTAGTTATTTCATCCTATTTAACAAATTCCCAAAAATATGCTTATTTTTCCACAGCTACAATTGTCTAATCCCTTAAAATATTTAAGATATTGTCCAATTATACCTAGTAAAATTTCAGGGAAACTGAGAAGTTAAACTTACGTTTTAATCTTCAATGAAAAGCATCAATGCTTACAATTACAGGAATATTAAAAAGTTCTCAACAAAAAAATTAGATGCTGAAACTTGTGCAAGCAATAAAACTTATTAAGAAATTTTAAGATTTAAGAAGAAATCCTGCTGCATTATGTATATTGATCTCTGAAAAGCTTGTTGAAATTTCATATCGTATAAAAGAGCGAAATTTCTTTACTACCATTTTGTTAGTTTAGAAACGAAGAGTTAGTTTTAAATGAAAATAATTATTTAACACATTGAGGACGGGATAGATAAAATCATTCCACACGATTTAACGAGATAACTTAGATTGCCTTTTCTATAATTCATGCGATTTTTGCAATAATTTAACTTGCAAGTTGGGTACTTGCTTTAAGCTGAACAATCTGGAAATCAAACAAATCCGTCAAACAACTGTACACGTATTCGTTCATTTTTAAAATATTTTTAAAAAACACTTAAGATTTCAGGAAAAGACGAAGAGTAACGATTTGTCAAACTGTCCCCTCCTCAATGCTAAAGAAAGTTTAGGTGCTTGTGAAGGAAAAGGATGCAAAAGTGATAAGTGTATGGAACCGAATTTAAAACTTACTGCAAACCATACTTTAACTCCACACATTGTTTTAGTATCCCATGAAGACTTGAAATGTCGAGCGAGAAGAATACCAATACTGACAAATCCAACCCAAGCAGTGACCATAAAAGTTCCTGAAGGAGAATAGCAGTACGTAAGACATCGCATACTTAAGTTAAAGTACTATTTTACATTGAAATTTACATTTTAACATTTTTCTTTCTTTAGATATAAAGACTGAACTATCCTTAAATTTTACTCGACATTAGTATTACAAGTAGACTAAGCACCGAAACATCCCTCAGAAATTGTAACAACATTTAGCAACGTTTGCAATATCAGTTGAGCAACAAATGAAGGCCTTATTTAAAATTTGAAACATCTGTGTTTATTTACAGACTCAAAGTTTTAAGTCTGAGTCTAGTAGTCCTATTCTGTCTAATTTTTTGGTAACGTCTGTTTAGTGACTGGAGAAATACCTCGTAAAAGAAAGAAGACCTCTGCTCTGATCAATTTAGTTGTCCGACGTAACGAACATAAACTACAAAACTAAAAATGTCATTTCGTTTAGACTACTAAAGGATCAAATTTCTTGCTCATGGTAACCCGTGCAGAGGCTTCTCTAGGAGTTATTAGCTGGAAGTTTCCTAGCTTGAAAATAAGTTAACTTTCTTTTAATAAAGTTTGAGCCACCATTCAAGTAAGGACTTTATATAATATTTTGTACATTTTAAGACAGCAGCAACTTTATAATAACTAATAAGTTCAGTAATTTATAAGCCCTTTGGAGAAAGAAAGATTTAAATAAGTACAACTCCTTCAAAGACTGGGTAAATGTAGAAACAAATAATGAGGACTCGCTTGTTTCCCCATTAAAATGGTATAGTAAAAAATGGCTCAAGTTTTGATGTTCAAATTATTTGGATAATAATTAAGTTTAACTATAAAAGACGCCAAAATGAACTATTTAAAAGATTTCAATGTCAAATAGATTATGAGTACTCATTTTATGTACAAAAGTGAAACTTGTCCCACACAAAGACTGAAAATTATAATTTGCACTTGAAAGATAAAAACACGAGGAAATAACCCTACATGTAGTTCATTCAATTATCAGATTTTTGCGAGAAACATTACCTAGAAAGTGCTACCATGGAGTGCATAGAGTAAAAGTTAATGTTGCATTCTTAATTTTAGAATTACTCTATTACGAAACAGGAAAAAAAAATCTTCACAATTAACTTTTCCAAATTTTCTGATTTTAATACAGCTAATTAAACACTGTATGTGATGCTGTTTAAGTACTCATTAAAACTCAATAAATTCACACATAAATTGGGAATAAAAAAATTTATTTCATATCTAAAAACTAAGTAACTCAAACCTTTTTTAAAAAAAACACAGAAATAATTTAAGAAATTGTACAGTATGGCACAGGGTGTCCAAATAAACAGAAATGCAATAAAAAATCTTAAAATCCTATTTTGGCGAAAAAAAAATATCACAGTTAAGACCGCCTTAAGTAACTAAAAGTTGCAAGCATAATTGCAAGCGATACAATATGAAAGTGGCAGAGCCCACAACTGGAGGACGGTATATTATTCTCTTTGGAATGTTTGGAATGATCGTGTTCACTATGATCGGGTTCACTATGATCGGGTTCACTATGATCGTGATCTCTATGATCATGTTTTACAGTAGATTCTTCGGTAAATACAGATTCCTCTGTATTTCCAACTGTTTCGTCTTCAGATTCACCTGTAAAGAACGAATGTTAGTAGATTACACCTGTATTTTAAATTATTAGAGCCTGTATTTTTAAATAAATTACTTGTTTTCTAAAGGATCAAGTTGACATTTTAAAGATTTAAATCGCACTGTTAGATTTCCAAGAAAAACGTTAAGTGGTTTAATTGGAGGATTTGATTTCTAATGGCTTTATTAGTTGGTAGTCATCGAAAGTTCTGTCTATAGATTAAGCAATTAAGAATTTAAAGCTTCAGTTACTGAATTATTAATTATTTCATTGAAACTCTTTGATATAGCTGCAGCAGTATATTAATCTAAAGCTTCGATTATCAAATTATTACTCTACCCAGACCCAAAACCTTAAAATATTCATTGACATTCATACAAGAGCCATGCTGCATTCCTCTATGTGAGAATAGCATTTAGGATTTTGACTTAAGAATGAATTTTTGTTTCACTTTTATAGAATGTTAAATTAAGCAAAATAAAATTCATTTTTAAAAAATGAGTGATTTGAAAAGGATTCTATAAATATTTATTAACAAGGGGTAGGAAGTTTAAAAAAGTCAAACTTTTCTATGGCATTATTGTAAGTAGAATAAAGCTTTGAAAAATCAAATTATTCTTAAGGAAATTTTCTTTTCATTATTTAAGCTTAATAATGAATCTCAATAATTAAAAAGGTCACAAATGCAAATCCATTTTTTTTTATTTAAGTCTCATAGCTTATTAAACCTGGCTCAAATCACATGAAATTGAACATTTTTTTTTCTCTACGCTATAGTCAAGGTACAGTTATATTAGTTAAGATAAAGTTATTAAACATATACACAGTGTGCAATCCAACTAAAAGACGTAATTATTAGGCATACATTACTATACAAAAAAAATATAGAACGATGCAATTACATTGAATATTGCTACAATATAAATTTTAAAATTAAAAGTCCTCCAAAGCTATTCAGAACAGTTTGTTAATGAACAAAATAAAGGTAAAAATTGTTATTAAAATAAATTGCAGGGTTTCGAAAGTGCCTCGTAAAAAATCAATTGTGAACTTCCTAATATTTGTACGATAGTGTAAAATGTCATATTTAAAATGCAAAATAAAAAATTTAAAAAAAACAATTACCGTGAATTTTGATTGAATCACTGACTCCTTCCCCCATAATCGCATCAAATGCTTTAAAGTTGACTGGCTCCTGTGATGCTATTCTACCATCATGATACCCAATTCCTGGAAAAAAAAGTTGTCAATAAGATTTAAAGAAAGAAGCTAATTTAAAAACAAAACCTAAGACAAAGGGAAGTAAATTATTAATAAAACTGAACAAAAATACAATACAATATGTTTATATCCTTCGCAGCAGTACTTCGTTTCTGTAGTACTGTTTCAAAAACTAGAAGAAAAAAAATTGTCTAATTGGAGAGACAGATGAAAAGATGTTAAAAGTACATTTAGATGAAATAAAAGTTTTGAAAAATGTGTTTTGCAAGTGAATTAAAGAAAATAGAAAATTATATTTTGTCTCATCTGAAAAAAAAATTGAGAGCATCAATTTCGTAAGTTAAGGGAGAATATCCATTTGGTGTTGGCTTATTACGAAAGTGATAAAACAACGATTTTTGTTTTTAGGAGTGACGAAAATCTAATTTTTCAGTTCACTTTCAGAACATATTTTAGGATAAAAATGGTCGAAATTCGGATTGCCCATGACTTTTTTTTTTTTAAAAAATTGAAAAAAAAATTTGCCATCAATTGCTGCGGATTAGTTACTCAACAGGTCCGCCAACTACTGCGCTTTTATAAAATGGTAAACATTTAAAAACCAAAGCTTTTAAAATTTTTGGTAATTTTGTCAACATGTTAAAAGTTTGACCACAAAAAAGCTAGAAACAAAGTCGCGTTGTATATGAACTTTTGAATCATTTATATGTCATGGTGCGAAAATAAGTTTAAATGAATAAAAAATACATTAAAACAAATATAGCTACCACTAGAATAAATTTTTACAAAATGCGTAAGAATTTGGCAGCTCTGGCTCAAAAGAAAGAAAAAGCTCTAGTTCATGAGTTGCCGGAATTTTGTTTGACGATAAATCACCGTTAATCATAAATGTTGCTTTTAACGATCAAATGATTTAAATTTATACTGTCAAAAAAAAAGCTCTTAAAACTTAAACACTCTCGCTAGACTTAAGAAAATTAGAATTTTGATTAAAGATTAATTCCCTTTCAACTAAAATATAAAATATGACGATAAATTCAGATTGTAACGTTCAAAAAACGATTGAAACTGCGAATGTCATCTTCCGCACAACATAAGCTAAAACAGAAGCGCTCTAGCTAGTTGTAAAGTGGTCGAAAATTTGACGATAATAATGTTTGACAATAACACAACTGATACAGCTTGTTGTGGTCAGAACATGATGAGATTTGAGAATCCTACGTCAGATACTGCCGTTACATGCGCACTGAAGGGTTAAAAAAAAACTGTACACATGCATAACAGCGTGTATGTAGGGCGTCCTCGAGTACGTGAGCGACCCGGCAAGGACTACTCTGAAGCTACTCAATATTTACTCCTGTCGTGTGTCCTAACCCTGCTTTGACAGTCCCCTGTTGATATATAAGATGCACATAGTTGTTTCCTTACAGTTTTTTCTGGTTTTTCACTGTACAAGTAACTACATTTTTCAATGTTGATTCCTTGATCTTTTATGTGCAGAGAAGACTTAAGTCCTACTAATATTATATACCAACAGCCTTGAGATGCAACATAATATTCCATCAGAACTTGCCTGCAGTAGGACTTTTCGTTTATCATTACTAGATGACAACATACGGTTATCTGAAGTTGATCATCTATGGAACTATTTAGTTGATATTTTGTTAGAGGACGCCATTTTATAATTCCTCAATTGCGTTCCTCAATTCTCAACTTTCTATCTCGATCAATTTTGCAAGTAATTCTTTTGTATTTTCTTATTAATTCATTAAAATTTTCACAAACTTCGAAACAAAATATTAAATGTCAAACTCAATTTTTTATAATATGGTGTAGATCGCAAATTAAAAATTTTATGACAAATTAGAATATTGAATAAAAACTTACCAAATTGTAAAATAAACATCGTTTAATAGGACAAAAAGTTTCAAAGATTTTTGATCATTTTTTTAAATAATTTGGTGTCTTAAAAAATTACTGCTTCTATGTCGTTATAGTTATTAAAAGATAATGGGAATTATCTAAGACTTCGGAGGGAAAAATTATTTGAAAAAAAAAGAGGATACCATGAAAAATTTACTCACTTCCATTTGTGATGGGGCCTTTTGCCAGCAAAAGGTAGTAAGTAGAATTAGCCAAATTGAAACTTCTATCGTAAGCATCTTTAATGTATCGCTCAGTCCATGAACAAGTAGTCAAACCATTTCTATATTCTCCATCGTAACTACTCCTTGGAAGCTAAAAGAAGGAAACAAAATAGTATTTACTTACATTAAATATGTTGAGTCGAATGAATGCACCAATTTTAAGATAGACCGCTAAATGTTTTAAAGTCTGCATTTCATCTTTTTGTCAAAAGCAATTTGAATTAGTAGTGCAAAAAGGCATTGCAAAAAAAGGAATTTTCCGAGCAAACTATGCAAAAATTAAAATTTAGAAAAACATCTCACTTGTAAGTGCAAAGTAATAAGTTACGGTAAATAACCGCTCCCAATAAGACTTGCATAAGACTACATCTTAAAAGTACTGCACATAACATATTTAAACTTTGTGATTGAACAATAAGTAAATCTAATATTCAGCAATGAAATATTAGATTTACTTACAATAAATACAGAATTTTTATTTTTATCTTATAGAATCTGGAATAGATTAAAAAATAAAACACCTAGCAATTTTAAAATTTAAATTTAAAAGTATGCATTTTTCATACTTTTTTAAGCTATAATGACGATGAAATAAATTATGTTTGTTTTTATCAAATCAAAATAGCTTTATATACTTACATAGCACTGCTAAATTTTATATGTTTTAATTTTTCTTTGTTCAATAAGGTACAATTTCTTTTGTCAAGTATTTGTTTAAAAATATTTATTTCATTTTGAAAGAAAAATTAAAACATTATTGCAATAGTTTTTGCCAAAAGGTCATTGTGTTAAAGACGCAAACTCCGAAAAAGCAGCATGAAGTTGGCAACATACACAGCATTGTGCTTTGTTGCAATGAATTCTATCAGTCCATTACACTGGATGTCCCAAAAGTAAGTTTGATTTCAAAAACTCATTGAATAATGAACGGTAAGAGTTAAAGCTGAACGGTTTGAAAGCACTATGCTTGCGAAACTAAGTTATTTCATTCCAAATTGCACATTTAGTAAGCTTCTTGCCAGTATGTGGCGCTGCAGACATAACAGCTGTAGAGTTCATTGTACTTCGAAATTGTGTTTTCTTGCTCTTTATCTATGCTATATTAGTTCTCTTATTTTTCTGAAACACGATTAAATATTTGCACCTATTCCTATGTAGCTTTCATGTGTGACTTTGGAATAATATCCTTCATACAACCTGTAAAAATGTGCGTTTCTACGTTTAAGTGTTTACGTAAAACTAGTGGCTTGTTAATATTTTAAATTTTCTGTTTCTGCATTTATATTCATATAATAAAGCATTTAATAAACCATGTTCAAAAATTTTAAATAATCAAAGCTCTATATTATATTTTACATGTAAACTATTTTACATAGATTTTTTTAATGTAACAAACATAAAATGTGAGGAGGCTTACTGAGAGTAAAAGTTTGAGTTCACCACAGATCAAGACATGACCTAAAGATATGATCTAAACATGACCTTATGGTCATAATTTCTTAAGATCATGCTCATATGTATGATCTGATGATCTTAAACTACACTATCTAAACTAATTACGCTGATTCAAGAGTATTAAAAGGTAAAATTATGCAAAAAGAATGAAAATTCAGGGGAGGGAAATTAACAAATAAATTCTCAAATTTCACGAAATTTTCGTTTTTGACAATATTGTTTCCAGGGAAATGCTCAGCCAGAACATTTCACCAAGAAAAATTACTAACTTATTTAAAATAAACTAACATTGCAGTGAAATATGGGAAAAAGCTGCTGATTGGCACATAACTTATGCTGAATTTTGTAAGGTGCAAAACACAATTTTAGAAGAAACTGGTCAACAATGAATGCTCTCGTGAAAGGCAGAATTGTTCAAAAATGAGCAGTTCTCTAAAAATGCAGAACTTTTCAAAATTGAGTGTTCAATTGATGCTGAATCGTCAAAAATGAGAATTCTGAAAACTTAGAGGAATCTCGAGGTCGTAAGACCATACTGATCTGAACGAAGTAAATAGAGGTTTATCAACTTACGACGGTCATTCAACGGAAATTAAATGCTTCATTTATTTAAATAAAATCATTAAAAAAAACAATACCTCTCTAGTGTGGCCATTTGATTTTTGACCTCCATTATTCCAAGACTCACGGGCATGGACCATAGAACCTTGTCTGAAACATTCAGTGACTGTATCGTCTCCCTAAGGAATAAAGTAAACGCCGTTTACAGCCGATAATTTTAATTCATGAATAAGAAGGATAAGGTTGAAATTCATAAAAGTAAATACGAGGAAAATATGTAAAGATAAACTGAATCATACCATCAGAGAGTCTGTGGATATTCCCATGGCCATATACGTATTCGGTTCCAAGTATCCGTGCATTTGAAAGTATATCCCATCATCTCTGTTAACATAGGAAAGAAGAATTTCACAGTCCGTTCTTGGGATGCATCCAGATGGATAGCCAAAACAGCCTTTTGTAGCAAAACAGCTGGAATACATAGACTGGGAATCTAAGTTTTCTGTCTGGAAATCAAAAAAGACTTTAGATGAACATAATATCGCATTATTTGACAAGGGTACAATCTACCGTTACTCAGATAATTATTTCATTGGGTTTTTACTTATTTGGGGCATGTTAATGAAAAGAGTTTAAAAAATGACTGCTACTCTTCATTATTTTTATCTAGTAAATTGTTTTTACAATTTTTTGCAAATATTGTAATAAGTTTAAATTTGAAAATTATGTTTTTTAGTCATACAAATACTATGCAAAATATTTTGACGAAATTCTATATAAAGTATAGATTTGCGACAAATTTTACGTTGTATTTAAAAAAATTAAATTTAAATTATAGGCAAATTTGAAGAACAGCTGGAATCAATCTTTTATAGACAATAATTAACCATCTAAGCAGCAGAAGAAATTCTGATGGGTAAAAAGATGATACATAATAGTTACTTTTTCATACAATCAGCTTTTAATGTTTAAAAGAAGACTAATGCGTTTGCATTTGAATATTACTTAGCATTTAATATTTGAATTATTAAAATGTTTAAAACCTTCGCTAAGTTTTCTTTACTAAATAATAACAGCATCTTTTAAATTCACGTGTTTTTATTTCAATGAAATCAAACGAAAGTGGTAACGAAAATGTATTCAAATATTATAATTGTATTCAAGCATTCTTTCTCCGTAGTATTAAAAAGAACTTAAACAGTTTTATATTTATAGGTAGGCATCGGCCGCGCAAAAAGTTTAAAATAACTCCTTTTAAGATGTCAATAGAATATCACAAATCAGTCAGCAAGTTCGCCTTTGTAACATAATAAAATATATACATACAGCATGTAATAAAAAGAATAAAATGATAAAACTTTAAAATTCTGCTAAGACAAAGTAATTGATTAAATTGTTTAAAAATGGCACTACTATTTATTGGCCAAAGAATCATAACCATCCTCACAACAAACTTAAACATTCAGTAACTCCAAAAACGTAACTACTAAATCCGATGGGAAGAAAAGGAGAAATAAATGTAGTTCTAAAATCAAGTAATTTTAGTTTTTGTTAGTTTAAATGGCGAATTTCATACCAAAAAATTTAATATAAAAAATAGAGCTAAAACAAACCTTAGATGGTTGGCTGGTAGAAAACATGTTAGACAATCTCACTGGTGGTGAGTCCACTTCAGTCCAAAACACAGCAAAACTTTTCGCCACGGTTGCTCTAAAAGAAGTTTTACACTATGAGTAAGAGAAATGCATTTAAGTTTTTATATGCAGTGAAAACTCTCTGGAAAAACCACTCTTTTGCATAGTAAAATGGTCTTCAATGAAGGTTAGTCGTTCTCCATTAACTTCAAAATTTCATGGAAGGTACATGATTTTTCGCCAACCATTTTATTTTTGTCAATGTCATTTCCTTAGAGCGGAAATACCACTTGTATTGGCGTCGTGAAAACCAGATAGATTAATTAAATTTAGCATCAATAAAAATGATCCCTAGTGATATAGCCAATTGTGAATGATGGAACTATTTTAAATAAATGAACAATCAGGTTTTTTTTAATTTAAGTTTTCATTTAATTTTATGTCATAAAAATTAGTTAACTTTGAAAAATGAGAAGAGATTTGTATTGAGATATGCATAGTTTTTTTCTAAAATAATTTTTTGTGCTTATTTAACTTTCAACTCTAAAACTAAAATACACAAGTGGGCGACCTTTGTGCTAAAATACAAACTAAGTTAGACAACGTTAAAGAGCACAAAAATATTATTAAAAGCAGACAGCTGTTTCGGATGCTCAAAGGGCAACCTTCATGAGTGCATCAGAAAGAAATGAGAGAAAAATAGGGTAAATATATAGAGAAAGGTGACGTCACAAGGGGATTAGAGCAACGGCCAATAGGAGGGAAGGGTGAAAGGATGACGACGAATGGGAAGCAAGGAACAATAAAAATAAATCATTGATAGCATCGTCTATAGTGCACTCCAACTGCAATACGAGATTATATTTTTCTTTCAGAGATCGTCAAAAAGAGGTCTCTTAGTATGAACCTCACACAAATATTTTGAATACATTTTAATCAACTTATTTGTTTCGTTAATAGTTTTTACAAAGAGGCAGTCTTTCCTGCAGGTTTCACTGTAGTATAGCATTTATCTATTCATTTCTAATTCTATAACATTCAATCTATAACATTTATAGTTTTTACCTAAAAACCACTTCCTCCTCATTTTCATTTGGCGTCCACTCCGTAATTATTTCTCTTTTTGAACTGGGGTTGACTTGAGTTAATGTATTCTGTAAAGTAAAAAATATCACAAACACATCTAATAGTAGTCCTTAGAGTAAATTATAATCTAATGGGGTAGAAAATCTTTTAAAAATAATATATGCTGGCAAATAATACAAAATTTCATATTTTTCAACAATTTCCTATTTAAAGAAAACATACAAACGTTGCTATGAAAAGCAGATAACTGACAAATGACAATTTGTCGAATCCAAAAATTCACGATAATTTGGTGTGTATCAGATTTCATTTCTGATAAGGCATATCAATATTTATTACTTATATCGGTAAATACAAACATTCATCCTGCACTGATTAATATAGTTTTGGACAACTGAAATTTTCGCCACCACAGTCATAAAAACCTGAAGATTAAGGCCAAAAACCGACAACTAAAACAAAATAAATAAGCTTTGCCAAAGTTTGATAAAGCGTTCTCAAAATCCGGCATTGTTGTCAAAATTAATCATTAAAGCTAAATTTAAATGTGCAGAAAGTTATTTGCAATAAGATCCATAGCCAGATATTTAAATTGTTAATAGTTTGAATAATTATGTATCGCGAAACAAAGGACTGCCGGAAATAGATTTAAAATTTCAAAGCTGGTTTCAATTTTCTTACTTTAGTTTCAGCTTACGGATATCGTTATTTTTTAGCCTTTAGAATGCTTTCAAATCGTTCGTTTGCAGCAACCACTATACAAATAGTTGCTAGTTATTTTCTATGAGAATGCTAAAATTTCAGGGCAAGCTTTATATTTCAAAAACACCGTGCAGATGTTTAAAAAAAAATAAGAGAAAATCTTTACCTGTTTTCCTCGTAAGCAATCTATAGTTTTAGATATTCCATCTCGAACAGAGAATTTTCCATCCACTAAACGACTTCTGTCTCGTTTGGAACGGGCTTGTAGGGCGAATCCTTCGATTTCTTCTCCATACTGGGAAGATATTGTTACTAAAAAAGGTAAAAGAAATTAGATTACTTTCTGAAACTAAAAGATTTTTAAATACTTCAGTAGTAGAAATTTGTGCAGTTTTAAACAATCTAAATGGAAACTAGAATTCTTTCAAATTTAAACATTAACATCCCCCTTTAGATTGCAGAGCTATAAAGTCAACGTTTTAAATTTGTACTTTTTAATTTGTATTTTCTTTAATTGGTAATTTTGAAAAGTAGATATTAAAAGCGCTTAATAAAAAGTAAACAAAATAAAAAAAATTCATAAAACTGTTTTTCAAATGGATTGATTTAATAATAACATTTTATTTCTTGTTGCAATTAGATTTATTAACCTTTTGCGTACCTGCTATTCTGGACCACCAGTTGTACCAGCCGTAGGCAAAAGGCATACAAACAGTAAAAATATTAAATTAATACATTTTGAAGATAAATTCCAATTGAAGTTGGTTGAAAAGTATTAAAACTTACATTGTCAACAAGTACAGAGCTCTAATTCAAATTTGATTGCTTTATCTAATTTGAAAATAGTCGAAATTTCGATTTCGATCCATCATCTCAAACACGAAAGAGTTATTAAAAACAAGTAAAAATATTTAATGAACAATAAATACGAAAAAATTCTAACTCATATGAAAGCAAATTTTAGTAAATTGTCTCTCATAGGAGAGTTAGTATCTTCAATACAATTTAAAACAAGTGAAAATACAGCTTTTGAAACGTACAAAAGCGGTAAATCTCTAAAATTAAATAAAAATTTCAAATCACTTTGTTCATTTTCAAAATAATTCTACAATACAATTATTGAAAATTCTTCAACAAGAATTTGAAAATACTCTGAACAGATTTTTTTTTATCTTTATACCTATAGGAATGACCTTGTTAAATTCAAGGTCAGTCATGATAAAGACTTCCCACTCAAACGTTTTTAATTTTCCTTAAGCTAGTTTAAATTTTAAAAAAAAGTAAAGAAAACCTTACCGATAGTGCAAGATTAAAAAATATATATGCAATGTTTTTTTAATTCAAAATTAAAAATTTCGATATTACATTAAAAATAATAAATAGAAAACTTAACATAATCTAAACCAGTTAACAAAAAAAAATGCACAGCTCAAGTTGGTATTTGCAACTAATCGAATAGTTGTGTAAAATCACATGGTTATCTATGGCATGTTTTTATTTTATTTTATAACCGTCGTTGTACAGTAGACCCAGTTTTTGAGTTTACGACTACCAATGTTCAACTCCGCAGGCTTGTAATTTTGAACCCAATCTAGAAGACAAGGAAACTCTTGAATCAGGTATTAGAAGAAATTTGCCTTCGTGAAGGACTTTTTAATGAAACTAACCAGCATTTGCGTTTCATGAAGTGGAAAACCACGAAAACCTCCCGTGGTTAGCATGATGGCAAATTGATTGACCCTTGATTGGTCTACCAGTGAGGATGTTTTACGTCAGAAATATAGTCGGTGAGAGCCGACTTAGGTAATCGTATCGACCCGCCATCGCTGGAATTCGAACCAGGGTTACAACATTGGGAGGCGAATGCTCAAACCACTGAGTCACCGCGGCTCTGCATTACATGCTAACGTTATAGCTTAAAGTTTGGTTTATTATCACGCTGAATCAATTTTCGGATCAGACTTAATTGGATATCCGAATGCGACGTCATGCGTGCGTTTCGAACCTTGTTGTCTGATCCACGCATGACGTCGCTTGAAAGTATCATTGTCAAAAATTTAAAGAAAGGTGTTTGTTCACTAAAAAAAACAAAATATATTCAAGGGAACTCCACGGTTTTACCCAGCACGTGGCATACGAAATAAATTTGTAGAAAAATATTTCATAAACACGAATTTCTGTCTGAAATATCTTAGTACCAAATCTTAATCGAAAAAAATAATTTTAATTCTAAACTTTTATAAAATTACAATTTTTTAATTGTCTCTCCACTGTGGAATCATCCTTCAGCATTATTTAAAAATTAATTTCAAAAATATAATTAATATAATGTTAAACCACTTAACTATAAAGAAATTAAGAAGAAAAACTTAAAAATGTCAAAAATGTCTGAAAAAACATTGAGTGCTAAAAAAATTAAGAAATTTAACGCAAACTTTTAACCGCATGTAACGAAAAATCTAAATTACTGTAGATTCTCTAATTTATATCTTTATGTTTTCACTTCGGTTCTGTGAAATATGTTTATTATTTACTAAAATATTTTAAGGTAGTGTTGATAGGGTCAACTGGAACACCATTTTGCATTGTAATGCTTGCTTCGTAGTTATGAAGGCATTTTTTCTTAGTAAAGGAGTTTCTGTAATCTAACAAGACTCGGAGGCTAAGACCCTATGTCCGCTGCCGCCCACCAACCCCGATGATTGCTTCGCAATAATTGTTTCTTGGCATAAAGCAAATTTTTCTACTAAAATTGAAAATATTCCCTAAAAATATATGTACTAAAAAAATTCTGCTTGCATGCGCTTTTGCTTTTACTTCCCACATCATAATATTTAATTTTTGATTCTATTAAGAACTATTAGTGAACATAAAAAAAATAATTACTACTTAGAAAAATTATTTAATATTTAAAATTAAAAGTACATAGTTACAACAAATTTTGCGAGTTCTCAACCCTAATTTAATATTTTCGCTTACCAATCCAACGGATATATTGAATTTGTTTTTGTATACATCTCATTGTTCATGAAGCTGAACGTTATGTTCTAAGTCAGTTAACGAATCTCTTTAATTGTAATTTATAATAGTATATTATTGTAGTTTACACAAAAATGAATTGTAAGACGGAAATAAGATTTGACATAAATTTAAATAACTATCTTAAAATGTAGCGCAGAATTTTGCTAATAAAAAGGAAAGAAATTTTAATTTTAAATTCTTAATTTAGAAAAGAATCAAAATCAAAAATATAATAACAGTACAGGACCTTTTAAAACTAACGATATGAAAATATTTATAGGAAAATACAGTTATTACTTTTATAATTTTGATGCTAATGTAAATCAAAGCAAGACGGAAATGTGGGAAAACTGGATCCATGTATTTTTCCGCCGAATAAAAACGCATCAACAACAATGGAAAACTGCTTTAGAGCATTATGCTTTTTACGTTATACGGAAAAATAAAAAAATAAAATAAGTAATGTGCTGGATTTTAAAAGTTTGCTTAGCTTGATTATTAAACAAATTTATACTTACAGGAGAAAATTTTAAAAAAATTATTAGTCAATAAAACATTACTGCACATAAAAGGCCTACCATATATTGAAGGAAAAATATAAGGGAACAGTATAAACAATTAAAAACAAGAAAAAGAAAAATATAAGGGAATAATATAACATGTAATATGTACATGTAACATGAATATAACATATAAACAAGAAAAAAATATAAGGGAACAGTATAAACAATTACTTTTGAAGTATTCAAAAGTTTTGCATAGTCAGATTCGCGAATATCAAAGATTTGCCTATTAAAACTTTGACGTGTATAAAAAAAAATGAACTGACCTCGCACTTTATTTCCACTTTTAACTGCTGTAACTGTGTATGGGGAAGGTGAACGTTGAGGTTCGATTCCACTATGCCTAGGAACTAACGAGGAACAAGCTGTACTTGGGGCTCCCTCTGGTCGGGCATTGCATCCTAGTACTGCAATCAGCAAGACAAAGACTTCGCTTATCATGCTGAAGCCTGAAATAAGAATCATTCATTTAAGAAAAAAAAAAAGAGCTGAAGAGTACAAAAGTATAAAGAAGCATTTTAGTCTTATACATAAGTAAAGATAAAACCATAGAAATATATACCCGTCTAATTATCCTCGTAAAAACATAAAAATCAAATAGTTTGCGATAAGATAAAAAAAGAATAATAATATTTCCTCGAAAACATTACTAAAGTTTAAAAAACTGTGCTACATGTTAACTTTCTAGAGTTTGCGCAAATATATCGCAAGTGTTTTTTTACACTCATTTCTTGTTAGCTAAGGTACTGTTTTTTGCACTCAGTTCTTGTTAACTAAGGTCCGGGATTCAAACCCCGGTGAGAGTATAACCCTCACGATTGATGAATATTAGCTTACTTGAGAAATAAAAGTGACCGGCTCATAAAACTAACCACATCGCTATCATCACGCCTAGTCATGAAATTGTGAAGCCTTCATGACCATGGTAAGGTATGTTTGTTCAGAGAAAGTATTGATTTCTTAGCATAATTTAACGTCTGCTCTAATTAGTTAGCATGTTTGAGATCATCCCCTCGAACCTTGAAGATGGTCATTGGATGTGAAGATCCGATCATTAGATCAAAATTTATTAAAGGTGGTCTGGTTATTATTTTGAGCACTGTACACATTGCTAACATTTAATTATGTCAGAAAATAAGTAAATCGGAAATCCCTTAAAAGCAGACGTAATATTTTGGACAGTATCTTGTACAAGTGTGTATTAGCCGTTGCTTTTAAATGTTCCACATTCATACAATGTTTGCACAAAACCTTGTGCTGTAAGCTTTCGGAAAATGCAAAAGAGTAAATCAATTTTCGAGAAAAGAGGAAAGTCTACGAGTTTGAGAGTTTATTCAATAAAATGCAAATTACACACCCTTTTCAATCATACAATAATAAAATAAAATAAAAATTAAGGCTAAAACTAAAGTTGATATCTTAAGTTTCAGCTTATTAAATCTTGAACAAGAGTCTCCACTCAATTCATCAGTATCCTTTATAAGAATTTTCTCTGGCCGCTAAGAAGGACTCAACTCTACAAACCATAATACATACACTACACTTTTAAGCCAAATCAAACATTTTATTTATGAAATTGGATGCCGCTGGGACGCATATAAGATAAGAATTTAACCTTTTCGTTGGCCAAAGTTCAAAATAAAACAATTATGCTTTAATTTAAAAATACATAACTCAAAGATTTTGCATTATAAAATTAGTCATACGATTATATCTGCAGATTTATTTTACACAGCCGTGTGGTAACCCAGTTTTTAGAAAATCAGAATTTGGTCTTGAGAGGCTGGCCAGATCCTCGATTGCGCCAAGACACACCGAGTTCATGAGATATACATTCTCGTAAAATCTGTGGAATCTGAAGTTTTGTGGTCCGTCGCTGAGCAGTATCAGGGGCTCGGAGGTCTGGAGAAAATTTCATTCTCCTCTGATCTATGCCTAAACAGAGAATGCGGCCTCACGAACTAGTGGGGCTGCCATCTAAGACACTTTCACCTTTGTGGTGCTCTTGTCAAACGTTAGGCGCAACTTCCAGGCTTGATTCGCAGAAGTCTGACGAGGTTGGATTGTCCAGGTGTCATTAGAAACATTTTACACTCTAAAGATAACGCGGAAAGTCATTTGAAATCCTCTAAATCTTATTTCTTACCAAAAATTGTGATTGATTTTTGTTATGCTCTAAAAGTAATAGTTTAAGGGAAAAATGATTCGCAAATAAAATTTTATACAAATTATTAATACCATTTCTTCGTGTGCATTATATTTAATAATTATTTTGAAATAGTTTAAAGTTTCGTATGGTGGAATGATTTACGTAAAATATATATAAAACTGAGCATGGTTTAAATTAAATCTAGTTTCTACACATTGGAATAAAATGTTTGGAATTAGCCATGATTGTTGCGTCCCAGTTCTCTGCACATTTTCTTAAAAATATTAACCGTATTTATATGTATTCTTAAAATGTGTTACATTCGCAAGCTATAGTTTATTTCTTAGAATTTTAGAAATAAGTTAATTAAAAGCTAGAGGATATACTATAAAAAGTTGCGACGATATTAACACATCCTTCATTTTTTTCCCGGGAAAAGGAAATGACGTTAAGATAAATGCAATGATAAAATCATTTTAACTCCTTCACACAATTTTGAGAAAAAAATGCTAGAAACTAAAAATAATATTTTTTTTTCTGGTGAAAAGTTTTAAGATATTTACACTTAAATCCAATGCTTGAAAAATTCACCTAAATTTTAAATTTAGATTTTCCATCGGCTGAATAAATTCTTATCCTTTAGATAAATTGTGTACAACTGAATTCTTAATCATTTAATTGACCGAAATTTAACCGACTTAATGAAGGGTCTTCAGAAAATTTAGAAAATTAATCGTAAATCAAAGTACAAATATTAGTCTTTATAAACGTATCAAAACTAAAGAAAATCCGCAAGTAGAAAAATGTAAAAGAAAACTAAATATCATCGAAGTGGAATTTCTTTGGACAAAATACTATAGCATACATAATACTATAGCATACATAATACTATAGCATACATAATACTATAGCATACATAATACTATAGCATACATAAATTTAACTTTTTTCAATAAAAATTTATTTTGTTTATGAGTTGGTAAGGATCTGAAAAGTTGAGAAACTGTCATGAAAAAAAAAATTTTCTTGTATACTTATATAACTCAAATTTATCGATGTCTGCAATCACCCTCGCAATTCGAATGGTTTTTATTTAAACCTTAAGGTTGCATGTTACGGTTTTTTAAGTCAAATATTTTCTTTTAATGAAATTGCATTAAAAAAATTCACCAAAATCGTTTTAAATCTTTCAGAGATTTAGGTGTAAGCCAACAGTTACCATTGATGCAAAATTCTGAAATCCACAGACTAAACACAACAGAGAGTAATAAACTAACTTAATGGTATTCCTTAATGTCTTTCTTCTGGATTATTTTTCTGTCAAAGAGAAAGCTAGCGCAAAAACATGCTTTAAGAGATAAATTTTTCTTAAATATAATTTCAGAAAAATCTGGAAAACTTAAACTTTTTTAATAGTAGACTTTTTTCTGAAATCTTATAAAAAGAAAATTTGTGTTCAAGAGTATTAGCAGTAGAGCTGATCTGGGAAGCATCCCTGAGGATGATTCGATGACATGTCATCACAATTTTGATCCTCTGCAGAAAGGATGGCAGCCTAAAGACCAGCGCGGGAACAGTTTAACGAATACCGACACCGCTCACCTTCAGTCCCTTTGCAGGCTGATCAAAGTGGACACGCACCCAGAGACCGTAGCTAGTTATATTTGACTTCGGTGATCTACTGGGAACCTTGTCTTAAGAGAACGCCATACCCGGGAGAAACTTTCCACCTCAAATTCTCTATCACCTCCATTACTAATTTGAGTTCAGGCAAACCTGGAGTAAGCCATGAGGTTTCAATTGCTAAAACAAATTTCAAGATATCAGAATGCTAACAAATTATTGGAAGAAAACTTTCTCCATTACTTAATCCTAAGTTATCTTCTCCTAATTTGTTTTTATTTCGATGTCTTAAAAATTCATTTTCTGTACTTCAAACTTCATGGCTTACTCTGCGCTTGTCTAAACTCACTCTTTCTAAACTTTAAATTAGTTATCGAGGTTAAAGAGAAAAAATTTCTCTCGTGGTGTGGCGTCCTCAGCCCACTTAAGGACTGTTTCATTGATTTTCCGTAATTCAGCCATTTGATAGAATTACAGCGACTAATTCGGAATTGTACAGCGTGCAATTCTTCAAAATTCAAGTTTTACAGAAAAACATGTTTTTCAAAATTGAATTCTGAGTAATTATATTTATTCTACTTCGTTGCCTTTGAATTTCATTTCCAATTATTATGCTTATTTATTTAATGTGATAAAATAAATTTCTATTAGAAAACAACTTAACTCAAATCGTTCAGTAACTCAGTTATTTCATTTAAATGAATTTTCATTTTTAAAAAAAAATACAATTCTACACAGTCATTTAACAATTAAAACAAAATCTAGGAAAAATGAATTCTCTTAATATATTTAACATTAAAATAAGATTAATGAAAATTTTATTTTGACATCAACACAGACATTTTGAATTGAGTAGATTATTTAATAAAAGTTTAACGCGATAATTTAGATGTTTTATTAAATTTATGTTATAACTAGTTTATTTAAAATTGGATTACTTATTAAGTATAAGGAAATAGGCCGACAATCAAAAAGTTTCATTATAGAACCGAAACTATTCTGTATCGCATGAGATCTCATTCGTACTTTCACAATTAGTTTTACTTCATGCACACTAACTTCACCTAACTATTTAAATAATTACTATTTTAATAACCTATTTTAATAATCTCTTAAAAACCAAACCTATTTGAACATTATTTTTATCCAGTAAATTCAGAAAAAACAGTTAATCACAGATTATTTCAGTATATATACAAATATTTTTGAAAGTGCAATAAGTCCATGTGGTACGTAATGTAAATTCGAGGGTTTTAAGGGATAATGATTGAATGAATTTAAAAATATTAAAAATGCCAAAAGTAAATCAATTTGGGTGATGTTTTCAATACAAGATTTGATGGAACATCAAAAGGAAACAATTATTAAAACCGTAAAAAAAGTTTTTTTCTTAAGCTCAAAATGGATTTATTTCACTTTCAAAAATAAATACTCCTTATCCCGAGACGGAGTACAAAATAGTTGACAATATTTATAAAATTTTATGACTCAAAAAATATTTTTTTCTTGTTTGTATGATCTAACAGAATGATTAATTTTAGGTACTAAAAATGTAATTGGATTTACCCTCGGTCGGAATTTTCAATTACAAGAGAAACTTCATAAAAAAAGATAAGAAATTTTAAGCAAGTTTTATAGCATATAATTATCTTAGTTTTATCCAGCGGATTTTGTTACATGACTAAAATGTGAAGAAATACGCAAAATTATATAAAACAAAATTAAATTTATAAAAATCTATCAATTTTTACGAATTAAGGAAAAGTAGCTCAAAAAGTTCATTTTTAATTTCGATTTATTTTTTAAAATATTTTTATACAGTTTGCGTTTTCTACTAAACTGCATATTTTAAAAGTAAAAAAAAAATCTCATTTTCTGCCTTTATTCAAAATTCAAATTTAAGGTAATCCAAGTTCCTAACGAAGGTAACATAATTATTAAATGCATAAACATGTATCAGTTTTATTGTAGATTTTAGATCATATTTTGTTAACTTACAATTTTCCCTTTTCCTGAAAAATATTAGTTTCATTATTTCTGATCCATTTAAATAATAATAACAATTTTCATAAAAAAGATGTCTCGATATTTTGTTATGTGAAAAATGAGTCCTGAAAAAAGTTAGAGTTAAAATATCAAACTCTCCGAAAAGCAAGTTTAAGGATTAGAAAATGTCACTACTACATTTCATTTATTTTCCCCAATAAGTACGAATATACTCTACTTTTGTTTATAGTTTTCGTCCATTTAAAAACGGAAATTTGAATAAATGTGTAACTTACATTTTCAATCAATAAACGAAACTACGAAATTTTTCAAAAGAAAGGCCAGAAAAGTAAATTAATCTAGCCATCTTAACTTAGCTGATTTTATATAACCCTATTTTGAAGTTTATACTTAGACAAATTATTTGAATCTGAAAGTTGTTCAAAGTTTAATAACGAAAAAAAATACTTCTGTGAATGTGCAACATTTTGCATAATTATTTTAAATCTGAGATTTAGTTTAAAAATTATACAGCTTATGAATAAGAATTCAAGCAACGGGAGTGCGAATATGAATTAAATTTCACATTTTTGTTTATTTAAACTTAGCACGTAGATAAAATTAAGTCGTCCAATTGCCGTGTAGATAGAGTATTGAAATATTTTTTTCCTTCGATAAAATTACAGTTAACAGCCTTTATATATTGAAATCAGTTACCTTTGCACCATTTCGTATTTCAAAATAAGTTTCTAAAATGTAAGCTTTATTTAGATAAAGATTTTAAATACGAATTTTTTTTTTATATAAGAAAGAAAGCCGGGTACATGAAATGCAAAAATATGTTATTTATTGCAATTTAAAAGGTTAAAATCCTAAATATGAAACAGCAGTAAATATTTAAAAGAAGCATGTTCGAATTTTACAAATAAATCCATGAAATGTAATATATCTTTTGGTTTTCTTAATAATTTGCAAACACAAATATATAATGTAACTACTGACAAGATTTATTTCTTTTAAAAGAAAATCGCACAATTTTTTTTTAAAAGAATACAGCATCCTGTTTCACTTAAAAAGGTAACAAAACAATAAACTTTAATTTATCTTGATAGAATTGCTAACTTACCCAACACCAGTAACAAGGAGTGAAAGAGATAGAATGCGAACCAATGCCTGTCAACCTGAACCGCACCTCTCAGTTTTGATTTTTCCACGAGGCCGCTAAAACGGAGGTGAGCTGTAGGAAGTGACGTCAGGGACACGGTTCTGAGTCAAAAAAATGACCAAGATGTAATTTCGCAGAAAATGTTCCTCCAAACAAGTAATCAACTGGTTGTCTTTTTGGCCTTGATTTGAATAAGGAAAAAAAAAGTACTACTTTAAAAAAGAAAAGTCTATACGACGGTGTCTTGAATGGAGGCGTAGGTCGATTTTTTAATATTCAGCCTAGCTTAACAACTCGTCGTGTTCGACCCCCCCTCGTGAGGCCCAAGATGGGCGAAGAACAACCTGTTCAAAACTTCTACTGGGAATGTTTTTTATTTTTTACAGAGAATCAAGGACTTTATACTTAACCAGAGCGTTGTGTATTTCAAAAATGCACGTTTAATACCACAAACATACAAAAAATTATGTTTATGAATCTCAAAATATAAAAATATAGAAAAAAATATTCGTGCTCCAAAAAATATTGAAATCGTGACGCCCAAAAATGAGAATGCTACTACCCATAAGTAGCTGGTGCTTGAATCGTTTGCATGCTATCGTGCTGTTTTCCGAAGTTATGAATAAAAGAGTTCAGAATTGATCTTTTCTATACGCACTGTGAACAAATTAGTTTTCAAATTTACCAAACCTTTATATATGTTGATGTAAAATAACATGATGGCTAAAATGCTTCTTTTGCCTTATTCCTCATTTTATTTACAAACCATTTAGAAAACAAAAAATAAATAAATGAATAGCACATTTTCTCGAGTAAACAATTTTAAAAATTGTAACTTTTTTTCAATCGTTTTCTAATTTTTAGTTTCAAATTTTGTTTCTAGTTCATGATTTTATTCATAATAATTTTCAAAATGGGAAAAGTAACGAAATTTCCTGACTAAAAGATTTCGAAAATTGCTCGTTTTTTTAATAGTTTCAGAATTTTTTTAATTTTCAAACTTTTGTTGTCGAGTATAATGTGTATCAATTTGTCTCGATAGATATTAAATTATTCTGTAGCAATAGTTTGTAATCTTATCGAAAATTAAAAAGAAGGTTATATTTTTTTGTTTAATGGAAGTATAAATTCAGTATTTCATTTAACATTGAAAAAAAAACTGACGAAAAACAATAACGACGTATATGACGAAGAACAGAAACTAACAACAGGAAATAACTACAGAATGCGGCAAGACACAAATAATTACTTTAAAAATTCTAGTCAAATTATAAAACAGATGTCAAGAATAGAAAAGATAAATTGCATAAATAGAGAACTGAAATTTCATCTAGAATTAACATCGTGAATCGAACATGTTACCTCTATGTGCCAGTTGGGAAAAAGAAGATCCCTCGTGATTATGATTGTTTAAAATATTAACTTAGGATTTTAGTGAATGTTTTTTAAATTATAAGATTATAGCATATATATAATAAATATCTGTAATTACAAAGTTACAAAATTTGGGGTTTCATACACAAATTAAAAGAAATCTCATAAATGATTCGATTTAGTTGACAAAGCTCGATATGAGAAACATCCATCCTTTTATTTAACTCTCTTTGCTTATTTAATAGAAATATAACCGGAGGGCAAGAGCTAACACTGTATAGAATATCGGAGATTGAAGATCACTTAACAGAGCAGCTAAATTCTTAAAAGCAAATAAATCTAGAATGCTAATTACTTTTTCTTTAGTCCCGCAGTGGACTGATCGTAAAGACACGGTTCCTAGTGGAACACCGAAGTCAAGCATCACAGGCTGCGGTCAGTAAACGGGTGATTGCCCACTTTGATCAGTCTGCGTGGGGACGGAGGGTACGCGGTATCTGTCCTTGTTAAACTGTTCTACCGTAAAGTGCTCAACTTCACGCGCAGGTCGTCAAGCTGCCAAAGTAAGGGAGCCACCCCTTCCGCAGAGGTTGAAAATTGCGCTGGCATGTCTTCGGATCATCCTCAGGATTGTTTCCCAGACCATCGCCAGTAGCCCATTGTGCAGCTTTTGTGGGACGTAAATAAAGTACCTACATACCTTTTTCTTTAAGGTGGATACTAGAAATAAACTATGGCTCTGAAATTCACTTTCACATCATCGTCAACTAACTTAAATACAGATTCACAATGCGCACATATATTGCAAAATGTATCAGGAGTATTTCTAAATGATATTCTGTACTTTCGTTCATAAACCTTGGTGGTAAAAGGTTAGAATCCTAACTTTTTTTATTTGGTACTTATTACAAGTAGACTCGAACTTGTCTGCTTTGTTCAAAGTATGACTTACAAGCCATACTTTGTCAAATTGAAGAGCAGATAACACAAGTTCAAGAAACACATTACAAAAAAGGATCCAGGATTAGAACGGGATTTGAACCCGCTATCACCATGCTACAAAACGTTCAGTCGGCTAGGGAGATTCCTTACTACCTGTTACTCTCAATCCTTTATAAGAATTCGTATTACAACTAAAAATTTTATCATACAAAAAGGAATTATTAAAATTCACATATTTTATAAATTAATGATATTAAGAAATATGATTCATCAAAAACAAGCGTTTTATACACTATCGATAGGTTATGATTAAAAAATCTGTTTAAAATTTACTTCTCTCTTGTTCTTTGTAAATACTTTGTAAATTTCAAGGCAAATCATTTTAAAAATAAACCATATACGGAGGAAAATTGGCAATTCGGTTTTCAGGAGCTGCAAATTTAGTTTCTTCGTTTCAAAGTTTTGTAAAACTTTACAGATGCGTAATAGCACCTTTTTTCATAAGCCACTGATGCAAAGATTTCAATTAAAAATTTTATTTCTTTACAGCACTTTTTGTAAAAACGAAATACTTTTATAAATTTTATAACTCCATATCAATTAGAAGCATATTTATCCTTTAAATAAAATAAATATTCATAACAATAGGGAGCTAAAATTTTACGATACCAATTAATCTATTGATTCCCACAACGTCTGTGTCCGTGCGTTCTAGATAATAAAAATATTAGCATAGAAAAGTAGTGGGTAAATAAGGGCGAAGGCGATCAATAAAAATATCTGTAATTGGTATGTGGGTCAACAACCCTCAACACTGCTTACAAGGGAAAAATTGAATAGTAGTGTTATTTAGAAGAAAGTTTTGTGTTATATGATTGTTTTATTTATGATGAAGACACGCAACATATTTTGTTTACTGACTGCGTGGAAAAAATTAAAATCATAAATCAGTTTCATTTCTTTATTCTTTGTTTTTTAATAGACATGAGATGCATTACTTATATTCTTTTAAGGAATAAAATTCTTTTTTTACTCGAAACACTAACATTAAACCATGACTGTCTGGATGACAGTGAAACAGTAAACGAGATTTGTCCCTGAAACTACAATTAATAACTTATAAATATTATATTTTAGAATTAAACGTTCAAATTTGCATTGGTGTTTGTGTTGAATTCAATAATTAAAATAGAAAAAAAAGTTTTGAAAAAAGTCTTATTTGAAGGAATCATTGTTACAAATAAGGAATCATATAGTGCGCATAAAAATAAATCAACCACCTAGAATAACTGTTGATCTAATGATCGAATCTTCACTTTCTAAGGACTCAATCTTAATGATTCAAGTAATTCTAATTAATTTGTGCAATTAAGGCGAATTAATTAGTGCAAACGATATTTTAAGTTATGAAAAAAGAGAAACGTACTTTCTATGAACAAGCATACATTTTTTCAACAAATTCAAATTTCTGTTCCCTAAAATATAACTGGTAGCCTCAATCTGGAAAATATGGTCCCAATACTTTGGTCAAGAGGGCGGTCCAAAGTTTGGACTTTTTAACGTTAAATTTACTTTTTGCTTTTTTCGCCATAACTCACAAACTTTTAAAGCGAATTCAAAATTTTTGCACGAAATTATTAAATTCGTTTTGCCAAAAATAACTCTATGCAAATAACTAGATAAAAAAACTTTTTGTAACTATTTATTATTCTTTACTATTATATTTAATAAAGGTCGAAAAAATTTAGAATCAAAAGATATATAATTTTTACAACATTTTAAGGAATATAAATTTAAATGGCAAATCATTAGTTTTAGTCAAATCGATCGTCTAGTTCCAGAAAAATCTAAATTTAAAAATACGATTTTTTTTCAGGAATACTCAGAAACTATTCATCTGATTTTGTCGAGTAGAATTACAATCTTTAAAAAGATGCAAAAAATTTTATATCTTACAATTCAAAATGTTTTGGACAATCATTAAATAAAATAATGGAAAAATTAAAATTATTTACTAAAATTTATTAAAATTACCTTTCGTTAAAAATTTTATGAGAAGGGCATCTTTTCACGAAAAAAATTAGAACACATTTTTTATAACAACTTAATTTTAAAAGATTAACGATACAAAAAAAGAAAGAAATGGAATTACATATTTCAAGCTTTTTCACTAGAACTTTCATTGTTTTGTTTCCCCTAAAGCTATCATCTTTTTTATTTTTTTGTAAGTTTATCAGCGCGTGACTGAGAAGTTACCAACAGTAGTGACAATTTCATGGATGGTCAAAAAGTTGCCATCTTAAATGAGATTATTTCAATATAAGCAGATTAAACTGCACTTTCTATCGTTTTCTAAACTATACACTAATAATGAGATTTAGCACTATCAATAGTCGTTGTTTATCAAGTTTTCAATTTCAAATAATAACGAGCCTACGTTTTTCGAGCTTTAAAACTACATTACACAGAAACTGTGAAACCTTACTTCAAATGACTAGCAAATGTAGTTCTATAAGAATTATTTGCTATTAAAAATGGGTGAAATGAAATTTTAAACCTGAAAATGTACAGTACCTTTCATGTTCCATAATATTTCATTTTACGAAACATGAAAGATGCTGCAAATATTGGGTAGTGACCATTATATAACCTGAATTAAGCATGAAAAAAAAATTCAGTTCAAGTACTTTTAAAGCGATTGTTTTCCAGTTTTTTAGCCAACAAGGGAATAATTTCTACTATTTTATCCTTTGACGCAGATCGAACACCGGTGTCTCATTTATATATATATATTTTTTGA